GCAGAGAATCTCGTTGTTCACCAATTTCATCAACATTCTGTGGAGTTCATGGCTAAGAACTGCTTCAGCGCCTTCTAATTGGGATCAGGGACCAGTAATATGATTGAGTCAGAAATGTTTCCAGAGAATAAAAATGAAAAGTCCAGTTGTTTTAAGGAGTAAATGTCCCTCTATTGATTCCTCACTTTATTCCTCACCCTTCTCTCACTCTAATTTCACACACCTCTGCTAGTTTAGTGTTGACAGATCTTTGTGATCACATGAAATGAAAAATGTAAACTAATATACAATAGGGTCCAAAAATCTGATGGGGAAGTGGTCTCCCACTGATGATGGGGTCACTGCAGCTACAGCATCTGCCTCCAGACGTCTGCACAGCTCCAGATCCTGTTCAAAGCCCTGGTAAAAGTCAAGGAACGATTTAAACACTTTACTTAAAGGTTCAGTGTGTAAGATTTGAGTGAAATCGAATATAAAATAATCTTAGTGATGGTTTTACCAGTGTGTTTAATCTAAATTGTATAAATTGTTTTTTTCTTGACCCTAGAATTAACCCTATATATAAATACTTATATTATACATTGGGAGGGGGTCCTCCCTACAGAGGCCATGTTTTTTTTCAATAAACCAGACTGGCGAAACTAAACCTTTTGAGTTTTTATGACAACTGAAGGTTTCCACAGGTTCTCTTTCAAGTTTAGAAGGAGAGGGTGAGTTGAGGGGTGTTCGGCTGCAACATGCAACTTCACCTCTGTCACTAAAATCTACACACTGCCCCTTTAAAGGTGGAATAACCTATGTGCAAAATCTTACAGATCACAACTAATTCATTATTTTGAGTAAGTGTCCATTTGGGCTGAAACTTGAAAAAAAACTAAGAATTAAATTATTTTAGATTCCATCTTGTGCTGCCCTCAGTGTACAAGCTAAATGAAGGGTACGTCAACTACATTTGGTTCAGTTTTGGCATCTCTGTTTTGCCAATCTTTGCCAGACTCAACTTTTCACCATTTTATTTCTACTTTATGCCTGAGACACATTTAAGACGTGAAGGCTGCACTGGTCACCACCGTGGTGTCACAACAAAGACCTGATATCAGAATTTACTGACAGACCCTATAGTTAGGTTGGTGACTGCCTGAGCTCTTAAGAAGGGTGTAGGAATGCCACAAATGCACAAGGACCATATTCTTGTGCGACACAGGGTGTGGCTGCAATTTTGTGCAAATTAGACGAGAAACACAACTTTACAGTTGTGTTATCAAAACAAATGTGCAGGCCACAAATGTGACATAATCACAACTTAAGAGCCCTGTGGAAGCTTCCTCAGAGGCTTCTCATCCAGAGCAGGTACAGTGTATGTCACAGATTTCTTCCCTATGCACAATCATTCCTCACAATCTGCATGCTGAGCAGTGGTGTTCAACATGGGATGGTGCATTCCTCCCACCTGCACTACAGCCATCTGCCTGGGGCACTGGGAGGACAGAAACTGAACCCACAAATAGCTGAAATTCAGTTCCGTATCAAAGGTCATGTGGGCATATGCATACAGATAGGAGTCTCACAGAGTTTGGTGCTGCAGGAGGGGGGAGGGAGGGGGGGGCAGCCTGGGGAGCGGGGGTAGGTCTGGCGTACAGGTTGCACTTTATAGGCTTCTCCATTTTGTTTTGGGACTTGTGCCAGCCAACACACCATAGTCTTTTCTACCAGGTGTGAAAAAGTGTAGAGTGCCAAGTCAGGGACACACAACGTAAGTAACGTTCAACATGGACATTTCTGGCCACATGTAATCATGCTGGGTATCACCACAGCATGGCATATTTAAAGGACCACTCCCTCAAGATTAGCATTTGTGATTTGTTGCTCTGATTATGACCATTTTACTATCGATCTGTCTCTCTTTAAGTTCCCAGTGGATGGAGTGCTTTCAGACATACAGTGAACTCCACAGATACTCCATGTTTTCTGTGGAGGAGGTGCACGTGTGAATGCAAATCTCAGAGTGAGAAGCTGCACAGACTTTCTCTGCCTGGTCTCTTAGTATAAAGTTCGTAGAAATTCAGGAGATGTCGATGTGTGAACGCTGGATTCACCGTGAGCAAGTGTGTGTGTGTGTGTGGGGGGAGGGTGGGGGATCTGTGGCCAATTCACCAGATTTTACCTTCCTTTCATAAAAACGTCTTAAAAACTCTTCTCTCACGCGATGATTAGAATTTAAGCTCTTCTACAAAGGCAGTTACACAATGCTGATTCCTAATGATCTGTGACTCATGCCTCCTCCTAATTAACAAAACTTAGGTCTAGCTCATTCTTGAGCTATTGTCTTGCACTGGCAACACCCATCTAAATCTCTCCTATATACAACCATCGCATTGTATTAATTTGACGGATGGGTTGGGTAGTGACTCATTGCTTGGTATGTTATTTGGTAAGGACAATGTTCAAACGACAATACCCTCCCAAAAAACTGAAATGCCTGAAAACAGAAGGAAAAATCCAGTTCGCAGAAGCTATAAAATATAGCTTTAAAATGTACTACAAGGTTTAATCAACACTTCTTCGACATAGAGAAAACACCACAGAGGTGGTGTTTATTGCATCACTGGCATGTTGTATTCCATTACATATTTTATCCCCTATATACTGTATATTCCTGTTTAAGTGAAAATGAAACAGTGACCACACAACACGGATCACACAATTTAGACCTCACACATTGTAATCAGGTGCTTTGCTTTGATCAGCTAAGTAAGAATGAGGAATGCAGAAGTATCATGATGTGGCAGGTGGAACTCTGTATAACAACAGGTTGTATGTCAGCCATATTTTTACTTCATATGTTATTAAAATCTTAACCTGTAAAATAGCGTGGAACTGCAGCTACCAAGTGAATGTAGCAGGAATAGAAAGTACAATATAGTCACGGAAATACTAAGTATCTCAAAATACTACAGTACTAGCGTTAGATGTGCTTAGTTTAGAGAATAAGTAATTGATCATGCATCAAGTCTCAGTACAATAAAATACAAATGTAGAGTTTTATTGCTCGCAGCAGTTTACATCGATGTCAGATTGTTTTGTCCAGTCTACAGTAGCTCTTATACCACAGCTACATCCCAAATAAAAAAGTGAGCCAGTGTTTAAACCTTAATAAACACTGGACACATGGGTACACAGGGTGGCTGTGACTGAAGGTACTGGAACACATATTCCTCCGTACATCCACCACTACTCTTCAGTTTGTGTCTGAAGGAAACTAGACACAGCGTTCATTTAAAAGGTTTAGAGTTGTGTTGTTCAAACTTTAGACTTCCAGCTAAACTAAGCTTGGAGCTAAGCTAACTGGTTGTTGCTCAACTTCGGTAATCTTGGACTTTGGGTAATGTGGTATATCAATAGACGTCATGTGACAGAAATCAAATGACTTCATTGGGTTGATGTCACAGAAAGGAGTGGGGCATATGTGAATCAGAAGCCTGCCCCCTTGGAATTGCATGACAAGGTCAATGATGATGTTCAGGTTATAAATCTGTCATGAACAAGACAATGTCCCTAATTGTTATCACATTGGGTTTGTTGTGTATTCAAGCAACAAAATGTGCACTGAGTTGTTGAAAATGTTCATCTTTAGTTTTCCCACTTTATCAAACATGATTGATAATGTAGGACATCATGCTTTGGGTAATCTGGGACTGTCATTTAAGTTGTAAATGGAGAAATATGCATTAATGGACTTCCTGAAGTAAAACAATGCTAAACAAAAGAGATGTAGCATATTGTCAGACAGGAGTTCGTGGTAAATAACTACCCGTGTAGTTAAAGTATAACCCGTACGTTTAAAACCCTAAAAACAAACTTGAGGCAAAGTCCCCAAAAACAGATATGACTGTTGATTCTATACATGCAGGTTCTATTTGCCGCTGACCATTGGAGTGCAGTTGTGGCCTATTCATATAGACAGGAGCCTGGTCTCATTAGTCTAAAATAAAAGCAAAGATGGCTGCTGAGCGTTGAAACTTGCTTACAAAGACCTTAAAAAACAGTTTCGCCCAAACTGGTGAGCACCCACTTTGCTATTGTTAGTTTATCTCACATCCATCAGTCCATTACAAACTAGAATATTTCATAGCCATGAAGCTGGGATGGTCAATACTGATTCGTTATTATGAAGTCTCCAACCTATCAAATCAAGAATATTGTCTTAGCAAATAGTATAATATGCATTTTAAGCACTAATATATTTAATTTTGAGAGACACCAATTTCTTTGCATGTTGGAGCCATTTGATTTCACACCTCTGATTGTTTAAGTGTGACACAGACTACATTTTCAGAAGGGCTTGAACGCTACCCTCCCAACAGCCGTTGATTGACACCTGTGGTATGAAAATTTCGGGGGCAGCTACACAAACCATGATTGTCATGTCAGCTTTTATTGTTGTTATCTAAGTGTGGTGTTGATTGATTTGCAAAGTCTGTACATAGACAATGACACAATAACAGTGAAAGCTATAAAAGCAATCCAGAAGTTGATTGACAAATTGATTTGAATGTGCTCATATGAATAAAAACTAGTGAGACCAGGAATTTAAATAAATATATGGCTTAAATAGGCAAATCATGTAAAAAAAACTATTGTAACCTAGCAAAGGTGACAAATTACTCGAAGTTTGCGTACCGTGGCCTGTCATGTGAAGACGATGCAGAAAATGTGTGTCCAAGTGAAGTGTTTTTGTGTGAGACAGTGTTGCTACGTATTTGTTTCTTTGTAAACCTGGTTAGTCCTGTTCAGAAGGAGTGGTGTGTTTCTCGCTGCTATGTCTCATGCTGTGCTTTCTAGTCAGGTTTCGGCTGCTGCGCTCTGTGACACATTTCGCAGTCAAGGTGTGTGTGTGTGTGTGTGTGTGTGTGTATGTGTGTGCGTGTATGTGGGAGTGCGTCTGTACTTTGCATGGAGGAAAGGGGGTACTAGTAGAGGCGGTTCTGAGGTGGCCTAACCTGTTCTCCTGGCTGGCTTTAACCTTATAGGCATTTAACAGGCAGATCCATCTCATCCTACCTGCCAGAGCAGAAGTGATTCACTGAGGAGGAGACATCTCTCCCTGGGCTTTCCTTACGTGCAGGCGTCTTTGGCAGCACCACACGGTGAGACCATCAAATTTGATGTCTATGGCCTCTTGTTGCTTGATATGAGATAACTGATAACATCTTCTACTGTGTTAAATGTAATTGAGCATAGAAAAGAATATAATGCTAAACAGAGTGAGATTTTTAATTTTGAGTTGTAGGGAAAAGATTTGATTTGAATTTGGTACCTCAAATTTAACAGTTTCACAGTTCTGTTGCTGGAATATGCAAGCCAGCTGTAAACAGCTGTTTGAAACTTTGGGTGCATATTCTTGACATTCACTGGAATTAGGTGGTCTCATGACGTTTCCACTTTTATTGACAAGTCCAAGTTTTTAAAATGCATTTTCAATATGTCATGACCCAGCTGCAACATCCAGCTACACATCTGTGGACATATGTGAAAAGTGATGATTAGAAATAAAATAACTGTAGTATAAGATATTTGTTAATCCACTTTAACATACAGTAATTGTGAATGAGTAGCGCTGTCTGCGCAACATGCTGCTTTCCTAACTGGGAAATGCCCAAACAAACAGTCATCAGACTCACGCCCTGCTGTTTCGCTCAGTGGTTGGTATCAGTATTGATGTTGCCACCCTGTTTAAAAGGACACACCTATTAACCGCAACGCTAATAATTTTTTGGGGACATCTTTTGTCATTTAACTTTTCCTATTTTCCTTGGAATCAATGCTAGTTTCTGGTTTGCGGTCGCATGCACAGAGCCTAAAGCCACCACGCAGTAAGGTCATATGTCCTCATTTCTATCTTTTTATTTCTTGGAGAATCAAGGATTCATGTGAAAGAATCAGCTACTAAAGTGGTGATTGCTTTCCCTTTATATTTTCTATAAAAATGCACTACGCACACATTTCTTTCAATGTTGCATCTCATTGCAAACAGCAACTTTTGCTTGGTTGTTCATCCACTTGAAGACATAATTCGTTTTGTCTGTTCATCACTGTTGCATTAACACAGATTAGGTGTTGATTGAATAACATCAGGTTGGTTTTGTAGCATTAGGACACAGTTTGATTCTTAGTGGAAGAAAACATTCTTTATGCATTTTTGTCTCCTGCTGTTTTTCACAACCCAGCACTGACAAGCCTAAAGTCTGCTCAGTCCTAATCTACATGCGACTATGTTACAAGTGAAATTCATTAGCATTTGCATATGAAGATGTTGGGGTGTGGCTGAAAGGAGGGCTGAGTGTGTGTTCACAATGCATCCAATCTGACTGGTTTAGATGCTAACATTCCCTTGAACAGACCTGGCAGAGGTTTTAGATTCCTGAGGTGTGAGATGATGTGTGTGTGGGTGTCGTTGTTTCTATGTCAGCAAGGGTCAGAAAATGAGGGAGCAGGTGAGCACAGACAGTGACGTGCAGGTAGAGTAAGGAGTGACAGCTACACAGTGTTGGTTTGAAGGATTCCTAGAATCTATATAAAAGGCAGATCATGCTGTTTTTAAGAATTGACTTTGAAAGGCTGTGGTACTGCCATCTTCTCATCTGCCAAGGTTACATCTCATATTTTATGTCATGTGTTCATCTTGGATGAAATATTCGGAATTGCCAGACTTTAGGTGCAGTAACTTATTAGGCATAATAGCTTACAACAAACACCAAAACACCCTGAAGAGTCAAAGATACATACAGACACACACATAATAAAGGTTGTTTTTTGGAATAGACATTTTTCAAATTCTTTACATACAGTGCTTTATTGGAATGAAGATCATGCTGCTGGTGGTACTCATGTTGAGGACGTAGGCAGGTTAATAAACAAACAGTAATAATGACAAAATATCAGCAATCAATATTCTGATGTGTATAGAAAGACTTTTCAGTTTGAAAAAAATGCTCATTTGTTCAAATGCCACACTGGTTTTCTTCATCTTCATTTTGCACGAGGTACAGCACATAGTATGTTCATGTCTCTGATCAAACTTATACTAACATAATCCTAAACCAATGTTTCTTTTGTCTGGTGTGTACAGGAAGCCTTGCAGTAGTTGTGCACTTCAATATAAATTCCATGATATGTGGATAGAAACACCCACAAAATGATGGTGAGTATGAAAAGGAAATAGTTCAGAAATGTGCTGTGCATTTATGTGATTGCAACTTTCATAATGAATTCTCGATTCTAAAAGGCAAAAGATGAACCATAATTTATGAAATTATGGATGATCATAAAACAAATGTTTCTGACCTGTCTCATTTTGTGTTTTATAGAGTTGCAACAGCAAGAGTACTAGTTTTTTAGAAAACCTGGTCCTAGATGACTCAGACAAAGGAGTCATCATCACAGGAATCAAAGATGAATCAATGGCTGCTAAGAGTGGCCTGCAAACAGGTAAGACAGAAACCGGTGTCTCTCTTCTCAGCAATTTTAAGACAGTTCAACCAGCAGCTGCAGATAAAGGATTTGAGGAAACTACATCAATATGCTGGAATGATTTTGGTGAATTGTTTGTGTTTGTTGCAGGGGATGAGATCGTTGCAGCCACTATCCACCTGGACCACCTCAACAAAAATGAAGTGCTTAACATCCTGAGGGTCTTGGAGCCATATGATAACAACATGAAGGTTCTGACCAAGAAGGAGCTGAGTGGATCTGCTGGGCTTGGCTCCTTGGGATTGGGTCTCAATGACTCTACAGAGGTAGATTGCTATGGCTAAAATTATATGAAATCAGTTGATTCCCTCAAAGTTTGGTCTTGGACTGCATTGCGGTGCTCATAGCATTGAAAAATACACATCTGAAATCTTTTGTTTTAGCAGCAGAACATAGTTAGAGATTGGCGTCTAGGCTCCTACTTCATATATATATTTATATATATAAAACTTTAACTCCCTGTTGGAGAATACAGGCGGTTGCTGGGGTGATGGAGGCGCTGTATTGACAGCAGAGGCATTGACAAGCAAAGGGAGAGATGGATAAGCTTACAGCTTGAAGAGACCTCCAAATTGGGAGAGTGTGTATAATGGAGCATTTTGGAGAGTGACGTATGTCACACAATTAGAGCAGCGCAGCTCAGGATGGCTGCATGAACTAGCTCACAATGATCACTCCAATTGTCATTCTGATTTTTTTTATATCTAACATTGAGCATATGGCTTCCTGTAAGATTGTTGCTATATTACACAAGGGTTGCTTAAAATATGTTTTTTTGTTAAAGTGTGTATATTAACCTGCTTTTGTATCAATTCCTCCCCAACAGATGCTCAACCTAACCAAGGATCTGTCATTTGATGAATCTGCTAAGGCACCAGTTGCTTCCCTTGATGGCCTGAGCGGAAAGCTAAACGCTGCACAACGGTTAGGGGGTGAATTAAATGGTCCCACTCTGAATGGAGACCTTCCCAGTCTCAGTCTAAATAAGCCCTCAGCTGATGCTGGTGCCAAGTTTACAATGCCCTCCCTCGGACTGACTGGACCAGATGTAAAAGGAGATCTAGATGGCACCCTCAAAGCACCCAATGTCAGTGTGTCAACTCCCCCTCTTAATGTTACGAAACCAGAAATCAAGGCAGGCAACTTAAAATACAATTCCCCAAAATTCTCAATGCCCCAATTTGATCTACCTCAGCTCAGTCCACCACATGCGTCTGGAGACATAGATGCCCCTTCCTTTGGAAATCTAGAAACACCAGACCTTGACCCAAAGTTAAATCTTAAAAGATCAGATTTGGATCTGAATGGGCCAAAATTGGACCTGAATGGGCCAAAATTGGATCTGAATGGGCCAAAATTGAATCTGAATGGTCCAGATGTAAATTTAGGAAAAACTGACATTGAGCCACCCTCAAGCAAAATTAAATGGCCCCATATGAAATGGAAAGGGCCCAAGGTCAACGGGCCAGATGGTGACATAAATGCTGACCTGTCTGCACCTGGTGTCAGCCTTTCCACACCAAAGCTTGATGGGAATCTAGGTGCACCAGATGTTAACTTTCCCAAAGCTGAGATCAAAGCCCCTGAGGTAGATGCTCAGATGCCAAATGTTGACATTGATGCCCCATCTGGTAAAATCAACTGGCCTCACTTGAAGTGGAAGAAACCACATTTTCATGGCCCAAAGGCTGATCTAGATGCAAACCTGAATGCACCAGATGTTGATCTCTCTCTTCCAAAAGTGGAAGGTGGGATAAATACCCCAGATGTTGACCTTGATTTGCCAAAGGCAGACATTGAAGTCCCAAATTTTGATGCAGAGGCAACAAGTGGTAAAGTCAACTGGCCTCATCTGAAATGGAAGAAACCCAAATTTCAAGGCCCAAAAGCAGACTTAGACATGGACGCTAAGCTAAACACACCTGATGTACAACTCTCAACTCCAAAGTTTGAGGGTGACATTACTGTACCAAATGCTGAGCTGAATGTCCCAAACAATAATGTAGATATTCAGGGCCCAGATGTCGACTTTGATGCTCCATCAGGGAAAATCAACTGGCCTCATTTGAAGTGGAAAAAACCCAGACTTCATGGCCCCAAAACTGACATGGACCTTAATGCAGATCTGAACACACCAAATGTTGATCTGTCAGTTCCAAATGTTGAGAGTGACATTAGTACACCAGATCTAAATTTACCCAAAGCAGATGTCAACATTGACCCGCCTTCTGGCAAAATCAAGTTCCCAACACTCAAAAAGCCCAAGTTCATGCTTTCTGGTTCAAAGATTAAATCACCAGATATTGACGTTCACGCTGATGCACCTGGCCTCAATCTGGACCCTAATGTTGATTTCAATTTACCCAAGGCAGACATTGATGTTAACACACCAGACATTGAAGCTCAATCTGGGAAGATCAAGTGGCCAACTCTTAATCTAAAGAAACCCAAATTTGGCACACTAAAGGGTCCAAAGGCTGACCTTGATGCAGATTTGAGTGCACCAGATGTTCATCTTTCTGCACCAAACATTGGGGGTGGGCTAGATACTCCTGATATAGATTTGAGCCTGCCTAATGCTGATGTCAAAGGTCTGGATGTGGATCTTAATGGTCCAGATCTTGACACCCCTGATGGAAAACTGAAGTTTCCCACATTTAAACTGCCAAAATTAAAAGGGCCAAACGTCAAGGGTCCTGAATTCAATGCTGATTTAAAAGCACCAGACATTGAAGCACAAAATCTCTCTTTGTCTGCACCAAAAATTGAAGGGGGTCTTGATGCAGTAGATTGTGACATGAGTTTACCAAAAGCTGATCTAAAACTCCCTGATGTAGACCTTCAAGTTCCAGAGGCTGATGCTTCAGCTGGAAAAGTCAAGATGCCAAAATTCAAATTACCAAAGTTTGGCTTATCTGGGCCAAGGGTAAAAGGACCTAACATTGATGTTGATGCTGACCTCAGAAGTCCGGATGTGTCTCTTCCAGATGTAAATGCTAAGCTACCTGAAGCAGATCTAACAGTCCCAGACTTGAATCTTGAAGCCCCCAAAATCAAAGGTGGCATTGCTACCCCAGATTTGAACCTGGAAGCACCAGATGTAGCAATCGATGCTCCTGGAAAACTAAAAATGCCTTCATTGAAATTGCCAAAATGGAATATTGGAGGAACAAAGGCTCAGTTACCGGATGCAGAGCTAACGACTCCAGGTGTCTCTGGCCCTGATGTAAATGTTAATTTGCCAGGAGCTGATGTCAAAGGACCAAAATTGAACCTTTCTGCTCCCACAATTAAAGGAGATCTGAATGCTGAGGGAGACCTTGGTTTGCCCAAAGCTGATGTAAAGGTACCAAGTTTAGATCTCCGTGCACCTGATCCCAACTTAAAAGTACCAGATCTCAGCCTTTCCTCAGCAAAAATTGATGGAAACCTCTCAGCACCAAACATAGACACCAACTTACCAGAAGTGAAACTGGAAACACCTGATGCAAAGTTAAAGACCTCAGCTTTTGATTCTCATGTGGGTGACTTTAAATTGCCTTTCAAGTTACCTAAATTTGGTTTTTCAAAATCTGAAGTAGAAGTTCCCAGTGTTCATCCTTCAGTTAAGGCTGGGATAGATGCACCCAAGGAGAACATAGGCAATATTACAGCAGATGCCAACATGTCTGCTCCAAATTTAGAAACAAGCCTTGACAGCGAAACTGATGGATCAGGTGATGAGATAGAGATTCCGTCATTCAGATCCCACAAACTACCAAGACACAGCATTGATGGCAGTGAGACCATAGATATCTTTGGCTCATCAAAAGTCACAGAGGATAAGGAATATGTACTCAGTAAAGGGATCCGCCTGCCAATAGTAAATGCAAAATCAGCAGGGGGAGAGATTAACATTATGGAGAGACTGAAGATGGCAATGGAAAAAGTACCCTCAACTAATGTCACACCAACTGAAGTGAAGACGGATATTGATCTGAAGCTTGCCCCCCCAAGTGTTGATGCCAGTGCATCTACAGAAGCAGGAGATTCCTCTTTGGTGAGAGGAGGTACCTTTAAAGTAGAAAAGCTAGAGTCAGCACTGGGCCTCGGGGCCTTGACATCAGATGACAATGACAAATTGTCATTGGGCCTCTCCAATATGCTCGGCCTTAATGTCAAGGATTCAGATGCTAAATAACTCCTGCTGCATTAACCTGATACATCAAAGCTTCAGTTTGGAAACATTGTAAATACATAGAAATAAGTAAGTTTAACTCACTCTTACCACAGTTTTCTCCAGATAAAGCCGGCTGCAGTCTCTCTCCTCTGTAACAAATGTTGGTTGCCAAAAGGAAGGAGCTTGTTTTTATAAACTATGTGTATATTCCTGTTATTTATATGAGCTTTGTTTTCTAAACATTGTTGATTTGGAAATATGTTACTTATTATTATTCAATATCTCCCTCAGCATTGCATGTGATCACATTTAGCTGTTAAGGTTTTTGATAACTGCATTACTTAACCATAACATTTTAAAAGTCAATTGTGCAAGTGAAATTTTATTTTGTTCATTAAATAACTCACAATATTAATTATGCTTGTGAGTCTTTCCTAATATAAAAAAGGAAAACAATTAAACTGATGCCTTGTTGGTTTGTATCTGAAGTAAATGTATGAAAATATATGAGATTTACAACACTTCATTGTAAATATTTGTAATTTCCCAATACTTTCCTAAATATGTCCTTGTACATAATATGGAATAATAAAGAAATATTGTTGAATAAAAGCCCAATTCAAAACCAAGCAGGTATCCATTTCTTCACTTGACATAACGTGAATTCTACAATTCTGCCTATATTTTGAAGTCTTTCTGATACCTTCCTTGGAATTATTAAGTGGAGCTCATAAAAGAAGATTAAAATCTGATCAGATTCCATCTAAAACACATATTACAGACATGTTACTTTAAGTTTGATGTTGCAGCTTAATTTGTTCTTAAAGATGATAAAGGCATTCACAGAATTTTGACATTTATTTCATAGTGAAAGAACAAGTACAATAAAGACATTCTATTTCTTCAAAATAAAAAATCTGAACTGTAGTCTTTGATTTATCAAATTCAACGAAAAAAATATTTTTGTAGATTATTTTCAAGATTGAGATTTATGAAAGAAATATTACACTTCCAGATCTATATGTTCTCCATTCCACTGTCTCCATCCCACAGGAGACAATAACAGTACAACCATAAATGAGACAAAACCAGAGCAGTTATTAGTCATGGCTGTGAAGCACATCCTGCTGGTGTGTAGGTTTTACGGGTGTATCTTAAAATATTTCTTAAAAAATAAATACTCTGCCACTGTTTTGAACTTTGTTATACACACAGATGCACATTAAAAAGCTTAAGGGCCCAATGCTAACCATACAAGGGCAACCAGCACAGGGCAGTAGGTCTTGGGCACACAAACTCTGCAGACGCCCATCTCTAAGTGCACCTGCAGTGTAGGTGCAGCAGCGCAGAGTAAAAGAGCTGCTTGAAGTGGAGTACACTGCAAATCAGAAGATTTGGTGTTCAATAAAACCAGCCTGTGGCCTGTCATAATGTGAACGGGTAATAGCTTAAATCTGCAGTGGCAGGTGGTATCGATCTTAATCTATACAAGGATAAATAAATAATAAAAGATGAAACTGAAACTGTTGCCCCTCATTATTTTACAAACGTAACAAAAAGCCTTTTCATTTCCCTATTAACATTAAATCCCCAAAGTATTTTTATATATATATTTGCTATCTAAAGTAAGGGCTGGATGCATACATTTTATATACTACACACAACACTTATTTCATTGTCTTCCAACTGCATGTGTCATACGATCCTTTTGGTCCAATCACCATCAAGTGTGGCTGGTTTAAGTTGCTAAAGATGGCCACATTCAAGCCAGATCATTTAAGGCTTGTGTGTAAAACGTCAAAAGTCAAATGTGGGAATATTTTGGTCTGTTTGCTTCGCTGCCTCATTAGATTGCTGAAAATCACCATGGATATCGGTGAAAAGTTTGACGACACTATCCACTAGTGGAAACATTTCAGTCGGACAGACAGGCTGGGGGAACATGTATCAAAGCTGGTGAAGAAGAAATACCTTAATACAACCCTGACAGAAGAAAGAACAGAGACAGAACAAATATAGAGTCAAACTGGTTAATGAGTCTGTTGCCACCTTGACGGCCAGTCCTTCTCTATCCAGCTCTGCAGCAGTCGCAGTACATCATTGCGCTGGTAGATGCGGCAAAGTTCAGTGAGCTCAGTGACTGTTTTCTGGTTGTAGCGCAGCAGGAACTCCTGGGTGGGGCTGTGGGACAAGGAGCCCTGGGTCCGGTGCTCCAGTAGGGTCAGTTCATCATAGCTCATTCCCCAGCGACTGGCAAAGTTTTTCCAGTTTTTGATGGTGCAGTGGTTTGGATCCAATTTGAGCCGCAGCAAGTCCAGGAGGTCTTTGTCGTTCATGAGGTCACTGATCTTGGGAGGAGGTGCTGGGAAGCAGCACTTTTCACAGGGGCTGTTTAGCAACTGCAGTTCTTTGGGGTAGTCTGAGCACGGATGGACAAAGAAGGTGGAGTCAGCGTAAGACATTTTTTTAATCACCCATTACAGTTTGTATTTAATTTCATTTCACAATTCATTCATTAATTCAGTTAATTAGACTATCAGCCTCCTGGTGGTCATCATAACCTCAGGCTATATTACATGTCACTGTGGACTAATGGTAGATGGAACAACTTCCCCCTTTCCTGTCTGTGTCCACTCCAGGAGCTGTCACATCAATACCACTATGTTCCCGTTGTGACACAATCATTTCTTCAAAATAAACCCTGTGTTGCCTCAACAAGGCCGATATGTTTTGGAAATATTTCACCTAAACAATCGAGAAGCTATGCACCCTTCATGCAGTGTTAGAATGGATTTACCTGGGGAAGTAGATGTTGGGCAAGAGCATTCTTCAACATCTTCAACTGGCTGCAACACAGAAAAACACACATGAAGGTTAGCCCTGTTTGCCACATGCCATTTTGGGGTTCAGTATCTTGCCCAAGGACACTTCGGCATGCAGAAGTGGAGGGCTGAGGATCAAGCTGCCGACCTTCTGGTTGGAGGAAGGCCGCTCTACCCCTCAGCCACAGCCGCCCATTATTAATGCACAACTAATCATGTGATCACATGGGTTCAACTTAATCTGTGGGTATAATCATGATTCAGACCATGAATCATGAATGACTCTTAAAGGGAGGACAGCTGTTAACATATAATGGGGAGCTCCACAAAAACTACACAGCTTCGTAGATGTTAAAGGTCAATCTGCTGGATAAAGTCACCGCTGCCCCGTCCTACTGATAATAACCAGACTTGATAGGTTCTCTGTAGTGACATTGTTTTGTACGTATCCTGAACCTCAGCTGTGCCTTGCTCTGGTTTATTTTTCAGTAGTTTGCCTGTGGCAGGTGCAGTCTCCTCTTCTGCGTCTCACACTGTGTGATGTTTTTTGGCTGCTGCATGTGAAACGTGTCTCAGCAAAAACTGCTTTAAATACAGAAGATCAAGACCAGACAAATAATCCTGTGAGTCGCCCTGCGGGGATGTATACATTTTACTGGTGGTGACGAGACAGACTGCCATCGTCTTCCTCAGTTCCAAACGCTTCATTTTCCTAACACTGTGTGTGGATCTTTCTACAGTGATGTCTTTTAGAACGCAGCATGACAGAGAATGACGTTTACACACTTTCTACCCGGTGTCCCTGCTCTGTTATTAGCAAGGTTCACAGCTGTGCCTTCCAGTTCAGTAGGAAGAGACCACATCCTGTACACTCACTGCTCAAATTAGAAAGCACTCAGAGTTTGTACCTCTGCCAAGGTAGATTACAATTCTCTACATTTGCCAGTTTTCATAGTAGAAAATGAGTTTTAATCTGCATCTAGGTCCAAATCAAGCATCAAGACACTCCACACTGGTGGTTAGTGTTTGATTGTGTGATGCTCCATAAACATTTGTGTGTAACATTTTCAAATGTTCAAATTCATGATGTAGCTGCTGTCACTGATAATATCTGGAGGACAAAAGGTCAATTCAATTTAACATGGGAAAGATTTGGGCCAATTTGTTTCCTTACCATCACTTTTACTATTTGTCTGGGTTTTTTTGACCATGTTCCATCCTCCCATCAAGTTTCCACTGCTGACAAACAGAGGTGGAAACCTAACAACCAAAAGTACCTCAAACTTGTATTGCCAAGAACTTCTTTCAAAAAACTCAAAGGTTCCTGCAGACTGTTGTTCACCTGCATTTCATTTTTGACAGAAATTGAATATAAAATAATCCTAGTGATGTTTTCACTGGTGCGTTTCATCTAAATTGTATGAATTGTTGTTTTCTTTACTATAGAATGGGCTCTTTATATTTAAATACTTTATATTCACATGGAGGGGGGGTCCTCTCTGTGGAGGCTGCCATGTTTTTTACTGTCGTCCAAACTGGACAAACTAAAACCTTTTGAGTTTTCATGACAACGGAAGTTCATCACAGGTTCTCTTTCATGTTGGTAAGGGGAGGATGAGGTGAGGGGTGTTCAGCAGCAACATGCAACTTCGCCTCCAGATGTCATTAAATTCTACACACTGAACCTTTAAGACAAGGTAAGATTGAATTAGCCTGCTGAACAACCGGCAGCTACAAAACTATACAACAACGATGATGGTTTATGAATCAATCAACACTATAAACATAGAGATCTAAATCAAATTTTTAAAGTTAAGGTAAAGCTGTTGGCTGTGATGATGGAAATAAATGAGGTGTCCCCTTTATATGCTGCAGTCACTTTACAACAACACTTAAAGAGTCATTGCCAATTTATTAAATATACATATTGGCCGACATATTGGTATCAACATTTTTGTACTCCCTAAATTTGATAGCAAAGTTAGCAATGCAGCAGCTTGTTGGATATCTCCCATCTTTTCTCTCTCTCTCTCCTTCTGCTGCTGTCAGTGCTTTAATCCAGATGTTTTCAATCTGGACCTTTGTCCTCCAGAATCCTCAGTCGCTCCTCTCTCTCTCTCTCTCTGTGTACATATACACGCACCTGGATGTTACTTGACGTACTCTCAGATAGTATTCTTCCAGTATATTTACAAACTAGCAATCATTTTGCCGTCCTGATTATCCATCCTGTATATTTCTGAACACACATTCATTCTGTCTTGGAAAAGGGATCCCTCCTCCGTTGCTCTTCCTCAGGTTTCTTCAATTTCTACCATTTGTTTCAATTCAAGGGTCTAAAGACTAAAGAGTGTAAGGCCTTCTAAGGCAAATTTAAAATATTGGGATACAGCAAAAAATATCTTGATTAAAATGATTATCTTGATTTGATTATTAAAAGTTTTATAAGTGTCAATAATGTTGGTGTAACGTAAAGTAGTGACAGAGGAGACTGTCAGACTGGTTTGGAGGCAGTCCAGCAACAGCTGTGCTGGGGAAAGTCCTACATGGTGCTTACATTCTGCAGGTGTCAAATATTCAACATTTAACACATATTCAAATTGTATTCGTCACATACACAGTGAAATGCTTTTTCTACGTCTCTCCTTGGCATAAAGACAAGATACATAGAATTTGCTATTTCAGAAAGAAAATATAAAGTAGTATGAGAAAGTAAGACGTATATACAAATATATATAAAGTGCAGGCATGTGCAGTTTATGTGCTGTGCAACATCAGACTGAGGTAGTTGTGGTGTCCAGCATGTAATAAATATGACGGAAAGAAGATGGGAGAGAAGGAAATCAGAAGGCAAGTGAGAAAGTGTGCTTCTGTGTATATTTTTGTTTATTCAGTGATGATGACTGCAACAGGCTAATGTTTCAAACAAAGGTAGTGCATGGACAGAGGTGGTAATACTGACCTGTCTTATTCTGTCTGAGGAGGTACTCAGGTATCCAGAGGGCATTGAGCTCAGGTGCAGCGTCACAGCGCCTGCTGGAGACATATCATTGTGTCATTGTACTTTGATTTAAAAAGAAACTGCAGATGCACATTTGGGTGTGTATGGGTGTAAATAGTCAGGCCTTATGAGAATGTACTGTTTGAGTTATTTCATCTGATTTATTTCATGTGATTGCAACACTACAACTTCCATCTTTATTTCAGTTTGCCTCCATTTAGCCAATTTCTTAGTTTGCCGTGAAGCTATAATCAACACTTCCTTCAGAAATGTTTCACAGTAAAAGCCTTTTGTGAATCACATAATCCCGGTGCCTTTGCTACAAAACAGGATTTGTCATTATCAAAGTAACTACAGGTTTAACTTTTTTGATTTTTCAGTCCAACAAAGCGGCCTCTTCCTGTTGATCGAAGACTGTGGTTTTCCAGTCGTGTGACTGATAAGCACTTCAGTCATTGACAGATTTTAATCTCATCACACCTGCATGAGTTACCGAGGGGATTTACTCTGGTAGGAACGGAACCTTGTTGCGCTGGAAACTCTGAGTTAAGGTATACAGTCCCTTGGTTATCCAGAACAGATAATGTTACAGGCTGTGACGCCAGACAATGAAAACATACCATGGTTATGGTGAACTCAGGCCCCCGATCTTAATTGGTTATAAATTTGAAACATCTCCAGGAAGTAAAGAAACTTTAGAATAAAATGAATGAAAAACAGCAGAACTGAAGCAACTGCAAGGATTAAATGAAGTGGTGTCAGCATTCAGACTTTCCTTCTGTCTGAGCCTCTAAGATCAGATTGCTTGAGGGGCATCTGTGAACTGACAGCAGGTCTCTCCACAGATCCTCTAGAGTTTACAGGTGGACTTTGTCAGGGACAGTTGGAGACTTGTCCTGAAGACAGTGTTGTCTTGGCTCTTTGTTTTAGCATCAGGGTGATGTTAACAGGTGAACCAGTTTCCACTGAAGGCTGTCAAGAGTTTGGGCACAGAACCAGGTGATGAGCGGTGTCTGGTGTTTAGCAGGGTTCAGTTCTTGTCAGAGGTCTGACAGAGAGTTCCTAAGACTTCATGGATTGAAGTTGTGGCGTTAAGGTGTGTGCCGTTCTAAACTGTGTCGTCTATTCAGTTTGCTGCAGGTGGACCTCTTGAGAAAAATTAAAGAAGACAAGAGGCTCATAACCACAGAGTGAAGCGTCACAGTAAATGATCTGAATACTGAATACTTCTCTGACAGAAAGAGTTTATTTGATCTCATTATGGGTTAATTGAGTGTGAATGTGTGTTATTCATTTAAAATTACATTGAAAAGTCTACAAATAAATTGCAAAAAGGGAAGCTACTGAAGCTACTGTAGGTGGGTCAATTGGTTGATGATAAACGAACCACGCTGGCCACTATACCATTATTATTATTATTATTATTATTATTATTATTATTATAATACAGTCGATGAAAAAGAAGAGAAAGACGAGTATGTTCACATGTGTTTTGTAAAATTGTGAATGGACTCCCTTAATTACCATGAGGTTCTGTCACTTGAACTGGATAATTGGCCTCCAAGGACTGTGGGAGAGACAAGGGCAGACATGATAATATTAGAAAGTCAAATGGATAAAAGTAAAAAGAGAAACTTGAGTAAGACAAGCTTGTCTTCTCTGTGAGCCTTTCTTTGTGGGAGCTTTACATTCGGTCTGTTCATTGGACTGAGTGTGTAAGTGTGGAGGAAAATGACTCTCTTGTGTGCATAGAGAGGGAGCAGCCTGCTACAACTTGTCCCTCAATAAGCCCTCGGGCTCTAGGAATCACAGCACAGTGTGTTCAGTTATGCTACATTTCTTAGCAGATTACTGCTGAGACTCTCTCTAAAGATGAACAATGAGAAATCAGCACAAAGCGAGCAGGACAGAAGACAAGTCAAGACAAATGAGACAAGACGACATGCAACGATACGTAAGATTAAATGAAAAGTGCTCACAAATTCCGCCACAAAGCTGGTAGTGTCCGTGTCCTCCACAGGTTCAGAGCTGCTTCTGTCTGTTACAGACAAAAAGGAAGAGGCTTTAGTGGTCTGAGCATGTTGTCACATCTACTCATTTCATCCACTTCCCACTTATCACATCCACTGAAGAGATAAACAGAAAGGCCACATCCTCCAGCCAGCGAGCACTTTCTGTTGAGTATGACATACTTAACAGGTTAATGTAGGAGGACACGCTGACATGTCACGATCACTGAACTGTAAATACTTTTTACAACCCTTTTTTTATTCAAGTTGCATTATTGTTGTCAAGTAAAAAGTGTTGAATGTGAGGTGTCATGTGCACGCAGGAGTAAAAGCTTCTCTTCTCTTGAATCTAATGCCCTCAGCACTGATATATCCTGGTATATTTTTCACAAGCATGTTCACGGATGAGTAAGGAGAGCAGCACAATGGCAGCTTTTCAGAAATAGAAAATACCTGAGCGGGGAAACACTGGGCCTTCATCAGTTTACGTCACTGAACAGCCATTGTATCCAAAGCGCACTAAAGAAAGAGCTGTCTTGGGTTAATCTCTACAACGATGAAACTTTAATTTGCAGCGGGGAATTAGGATTAAGTGTTCAGGTGTTATCATCTCCTTCATGCTGCTTTCAAGCTGCTGTTCACCAAGAAGAGAGCAGTCATGGATACCACTCACAGTCAGAGCTGCTCATACAAACAAAACCAGCCAAAACAAGACAAAGTGCAAATTCAGATGCAATCATCACATGAAAATTGACTTTTCCTTCTTTAGATGGCTAGCTAGAATGTTTCAACGCTTCTGCGGTAGCCATGGTAATCAGTGGCAGATAAGCCTGAGGAAATAGTCATGTCCCGAATCTATGATGAGCTTTGACTTGAAAACAACAGTGTGAAAATTATAATTATTTGTTTATTGCATATCTAGGAGTCTCTGGAAACTCTGTTTCTCCTACATCACCACCTGACGTGACTGAGACACTGAACTATCTCCTTATCACACACGATCACACACAAGTAAACTCCCCTTTGCAACCGCATGTCAATTCCCCTCTGTACAACACCACCTACAAAATAAAAGCAAATACAAATTAAGAATATATATAGATACAATTTAAGGGTCTGTATTTGTACGAAATTATTCAAGTGTTTCAGACCAAATATTAGTATAAGTACATTCCAGGAATTAATCTTTAATCAAACTTCCAGATAATCAAAGTCAAAGCAGAAAGTGTAGGTCTATACTGAAGCTGCCTCTAACCGTGAAACCAGCAATGACGACATATGTCTTCTCTTTCTGGAGTTACTTCCTTTTTTTTAACAGAGTTGACGGATCCATTTGAGAGGAAATTAATGGTAAATCCCCTGTAACACAGCTTCTGGAAACCAGCCCACACAAGACTACAAGGAAACTTTTCCATGTTGCAATTTGCCCTCTTTTTATGTGCTGCACACTTGGCATGTCTATTTTAAATGACCCAAGAAAGAGCAGTGCTGATTTTGGTGAGATTTGGACACGGGACACCTTCAATATTAATACAAATTTTAAAAAGTGGGGGGTTGGGCGGTGTGCCTTCAATCTGTGGACCGAGGTGAACATGTGTTCTTTTGGGTCCTCGGATAAACTACTGCAAACAACTGGGGTCAAACTGCAGGTGAAAATCTCCACCAGATCAACTTGAGACCCGGAGGGCAGTTCTCCGTCATGTCAACAACATTAATAGAATAATTTCCTTTTTAGCAAGTTGTCTTCAAAGTAGAGGGAGGTAAACCATGTTTTTTCTAAAAGTTCTAACTGGGACTCTCAGAAGAAGGTCATAGAAATAATTTCAGATCATCTGAAACTTGACCACAAGAACCAGAAGCCGCCCAACACTACGGGAAACACCAAGGCCTAGTGGTTAGGTTTCTCAAACATGATGACATGCTTGTTACTCTAGCAATGAAAGAGGCCAGAAAAAGAGAGGGCAGAGCTTGTCTGAGATACTAGATGCTGATTACTCACTGTCCCTCAAAATTACCTGGTGAGTTCCCCTTTAGATGCATTTGAGAGCAATTAAGAAACCATGTGTCATGTTTTTTGATGAATCAATTATCTGCAGATAAACAAATGTTCTAGTGATATGTTTTTTGTTAACACTTTATATAAGGGAACACATATCAACCATTAACTAGTTTATTAGCATGGATATTAGAGGCATATTGGCTCTTTATTAGTCATTATAAAGCACTTATTAATACCTTATTCTTAATGACCTCATTCTGCAACTACTCCATTGATTAACAGTTTTCCCTTAATAACCTCCTAATTACTGCTTATTGATGGTAAGTAAGGAAGTTGTTGTACATGAATTTCAATCAAGTGCTTCATAATGTTCACTTTGTTTGTTACCGGTTTTTTCTATACCTTCCATACTGTTTATCACCACATTATCGCTAAAAACTGAAAATTCATCTTAGGCTCGGTCGTAGATTACAGACCTGCACTGAACTCCGCAGTATTTTCTCCAGAGGAGGTGGATGCGTGAATGCAAATGTCAGAGTGAGACGCTCCAATTTTCCCCAGACCGTATCTGCCTGTCTTTTAAGCACAATGTCTGTAGAAATCCAGGAGAGGTCAATGTGTGAACACAGCAGGGGTTCCCCCACTGGATTCACAGTGAGGGAGTGTGTGTGGGGGGTTAATACGCTACTTCCTGTCTATGTCTGCTGCACCCGGGTGCGTCACCTCTTGCCTGAATAATGCTGAGGATTTGTTGCTGTTGTCAATACGTCCTCCAGATGTGTTGTGCATGTGTGAAAGTGTAACTCTAGGTGAAGTCCGTAGCCGATTCTCAGGATTTTATCGGCATGTCTTATCTAAAAAACGGCTTTAGAAGGTTACCAGTAAAACAGAAGAAAACTGCAGAACATTAAGAGTCTTTACTAAGTATTTAAAGACCATACTTTATTTATTAATCAGTATTAATGTCATCAATTTTCATTGCTATGCAGATTACATTTGGCCCTTTATTTCCTCTTATACAATAAATGTTCAGTAACTTAAAATGTCCTCAGGTTGAATTAAAACAAAACCAAGATTGCAGTTGCACTTGGTTTATAGAGACACTGACAAAAACTAGAGTTGCAGAAAATTAATATTTTATGATTAAATACTTGGTCCTTACAGTTGTATTAAATATCACACGTTTGTGAAAATGGGCAAACTATAGCATCCTAGAGCTCAAGGTAATGTTTTCAAACGTTCTGCTTTGTCTGAACAGTTTATTTTTTGGCTTTCCTATTACAAGATAGTTTCCCGTCACTTCAGACTCAAAGTCGCATACTATTAAAATGACTGCAAAGTAAAGGCTGGCCTGGAAGGTAGAAAATCAACCTGAAAAGGTATTTAAGCCTTTTTTTGTAAAATCTAAGTGAGTTTCTAATCACAGTTAGTCTGCTCAAACATGAAAAACTACCAGTACATAAGTTCACAATGCAACCCTGGGTGGTATTCCCCTTTAAATACAGCACATTAAGTATTTGGACTCACAGCCAGTCACCCAATTATGAAGCGTAAGTCGAACCCCAGATCAGTTGAGCATTGTTTCTCCCTCTCTGGGAATGCAGGGACATGTACCTGCATGCTCTGGATAAAGTTCAAGAGATGAAATATAAACCACATCATAATACACTGCTTAGGGCCATAATTCCATGCAGGTGAACCCAGCTTTTCTCCATTTTGACCACCCATGGAAAGATAAAGCACAGTTTCTCAGCAGCCTGTTTAGCAGCGCGTTTGCTTTGTCATGGGTTCTGTTTGTACACATGAATGGAGGTGAATGGCATGTCAATACCTGACTCAGGCCACAATGAAGTCTAGACTGAGAGCAGCCACATACACACACCTTTAACAATCTCTCTACTACACGTGTATCATATCTGATAGAAGTGAGTCTTTCCCAGTGTGTGTGCATATTCAGGAGCTGCACAGGATTGGTTTGATATATTACTGCTGATGCTGCCTCTTTAATGACACGTCACCCAACTGAACCACGTTTCTCCCTGATCAAAGACATGAAGCCATTGTGTTTATCCTAACAGTTTATTGAATTGTAAGAGGATCTTTACTACTGAATACCAGTGGAACTTGTTCTTAAAGATCTTAATTAGAATTCTTTCTAATAGTTGCATAAGAAGTTTGATACCAATCGTATCGCTATGTGTAATGTTTGGAGCAGCAGTCATGATGTGGTGGGCCTCGCATTGAGACTGGAACCGGGTGGTAACAGCTGGTCCGGAAAATATGCTCAACAACACATCTAAAGCATATTTATTAATTAATTAACGGTTTGTTCAACCTTTACTTTAACACAAATGTCAACACAAAGATTTGTGGTTTCAGTGGCAGCTACATGCTGGAGGTATTTCTCGACAGGCAGCAGCCAGGTGCAGTAACTGGGCTGGGCTTTCCAGGTTCCGTGCACGTGCAGAGACAAGAACACAAACCTGTGTTCCCCCGACCATGTCAGGCAACCTTTGCCATAGATGAATATTGAGTACATGGTCACGCTGATGCATCTGACATTTAGCCAGTTTCTGGGTGAGTGTATGTGTGAAACCGTACTCCCCTTCGAGTGACATCATACCCTTAAAACACATGGGTGGTTCAAAAATGAAGATAATTCTTTTATTTGACCGTTTAGATGTGTGGTGCCTGTGAAACCTGTCATTGGTCCTGAAAGGCCCAGCCCACACCTAACTTCATTTGATCTGCAGGGGTAACTGTCCCGCCCACCTGTCTCTGGCGAGATCAGTGGTGGAAGAAGTATTCAGATCCTTTGCCAAAGTTCAAGTACCAACACAATACTGTAAAAACGTAAAAGTAAAAGTCCTCCATTCAAAATCTTCCTTGATTAGAGGTAAAAGTATTAGCAATGAAATGTAGATAAAGTATCAAAGTAAAAGTACACGTTGGTCCTTACATGGAAAAATCCCTGTTTTTGTGATAGTTGACTGGTTTATCTTTAACGGTGTGTTGTATTTAAAAATAATACGGTATCCACTGTGTAAGATGCCTTAAAAGTAACTCACAACTAAAGCAGGCAAATAAACGCATAAAGAGTAGAAAGAACAATCTTTCCCTCTAATGTAGTGGGGTGGAAATATTAAGTCGCATTAAATGGAAATACCCAAAGTTCAAGCATCAGATCTTTAGTGCCAAAAAAATGAAATTCCATTTGTTTCCAATATTAAGTCTACGCCAAACACATCTCTATCGTTACCTTCTCAATCTTTAAACTCTAGACCTGCAGGCTCAAACATATTTCAGTCAAGTTCAACACTTCAGCTGGAAACGTGAAGGTAGAAACATGAGTGTAGAGGGGCTGGACAGGAAATGTTAGACTTAAGGATTAATCTAATATTCAAACACTGACCTCTGAATGACACAGCTGCAAACCCATATGTGAATATGTCAGGGTGGGTAATCTGACTAATATTTATATATGTGGTCTCATGGAGTTCTAGCATTGCTCACCTTTGGTACAGAAGAAAAAAAAAAGGGATCTAAATATTAGTTTACAGTAATGAGCAGTTATCGGTGGTATCCAAGCCTATTCTGCTCTCAGCACTAGTTACTTCACAATAAGGACAGAGTCTGTGATGCTGCATTCAGCTTTTCATGCTTCGAGAAAAAAGACAAGAAATGTAACACAAGTTACAGCTGAAGCATTATGAACCAAACAATGTAAACACTGCCCTGACCATTGTTTTTCACCAACCCGAAGGAGAACTTCACATCCTGCCGTAGCTTACAGACTTACTCAGGAGCTGTTCTAAATGACAGTTTAGTGATGGTAAAGGGAACTTCACTGTATTCTTGGATCACATAGGATTGCAGACAAACAGCCATTAACCTACAGTGTGACTAACACATGTTCATTATCCTGTGTCAAACACTAGGTGTGTGAAAGTGGTTCAGGCAGGAAACACAAAGCTGGTTACACCTGAATCTAAAGGAAATAACACGCAACAGATGGGTGATGTGCAAACTGTCGGATCTGTCAGAACCATTTATGTTGTTGTGTCCTTACACACATGAACAGCGCAGCCAGAGAGTCTCCGTTTAGAAGCATTCACAAAAACACAGCAATCTCGGTAGCATTCAGGTGAGCGGGGGTGCAGCAGACAGAGGATGTAGCATACTCATTCTGCTGCAGTGATGACGTGTTTTTGTTTACAGCAAGTCAACACCCGCGTTGGACCTTCTCACCAAAAACTCTCTCAATAGCACCTTTGTCTGTGTTTTCCACATATATGGCTCTGGTTGTTCCTCAGGAGATAATTGTTTGTATTAGTTTTCTTCATGTTTGAATCCGTCGCTATCTGAAAGCAGCTTAAATACGTTTTCTTGACTCTACATGACATCACTTTCTGACTTCATTGTGATGTCATGATGATATTATTCCTTCAAAATTCCATTCCACTCCAAAAACGTTTTTAAAAAAAATCTACATAAGTCCGCTCGACCTTTGACCGATCAGCAAAGGGGAACATCTGGAGATACACTCTCAAGTAAAGTTCCCAGCATGTTTGGTAAACTTCAACATCTTTCTATTATTGTTCTTACGGCACAAAATGTCACAGTGGAGCACCTTCCACCACCCAAGCATTATTTTGAATACCAGCGTGGAAAGAAGAAGTGGTTTATTAATCATCAGTAAAGCCATCGGTTGAAGTATGGGAAGTGTGTAAATATGTAAAGGCTGAGGTGTTACGCTGTGTTGTATTCAACCATTGTTGGAGCTGGTTGAAAGTAAAATGGCAGTTATAACTCTAACACTAGGAATACTGAAGAAACACTGGCTCCTGCAAACTGCTGCAGACCTGAAGGAGCCAAAAGACAAGTTCACTGTGTTTCACTGTTAATATCCATTTCCAGGACGCGAGGGATATAAAGTTAAAGGTTTGCTGGATCATTGGCAGAATGAGTCATTTATCCAGCGGTGGTGGTTTTGGTTGTAGTTGGATTTAACCAGGAAACTCTTCTTCTCCCAGACTAACGGTGCAGAACGGATTTAAAACAAATGGAACATTTGAAATAGTCAAACGTGTGCTTGGCTTTAGGAGCTGCCACGGTTAGAACACTCAGTGTGACCAAACCCATCATTAGAACCATTCCCACTAATGAGCTACTACCTGGACACCTTACTCACCGAATGTCTCCTTGCACGTCCGCAAACTGCTCATGTTAGAGGCTGTGACGTCTCCCATGGTGAGAAGCGAGTGAGGCTGAGCTCGGCGTGAAGTAAGAGTCCACAGCGAGGAGGAGAGACACGGATGTGATGCCGGCTGAACCACTGAGCCCAGCGGCGGCCACGCACCAACGAGACTCCTCTCACACCGGGGGACCGCGACCTGGAGCTGTGCTGCCTTCACGCGCCCCACGGAAAACTCAAGCTCTCCTTCCCCCCCCCCCCGAAACCGCTGGTGGGTGACAGACTGGGCGTGGGATGAGATGGGCTCGAGTGACGTCAAGTTAGAGTCAGTTGAGTTAAGATTACATTCTGTTGTTCCAACCATGGATAATGAGATTAAGACCTTCATTTAGTTGAGTTAAGTTACCTTAGTTCAAGT